TGAGTGAGTAAAGGAGAAGGATCTGAACTCCGGGTCCAAACAGGACATCCAGGAGACCCCGGCAGGCCTGCCTGCTTCCTTCCGGGCGCTGCTGCTTGAACGGGTAGACAGTGGTTTTGCACAAAACTTCTCTCGTGGGTCCTGCGTTCCCTCCTTTGGAATTTATGGTGGTTTTCAAAACAACCCTAACTCTTCCACCAAAATAAAATATTTTTACTTTTGGAAAAAAAGGAGAACTGTCTTTTGTTTCCTTGAGAATAAAAAGACATGAACACATTTTATGAATACAGACCATTATTTTTTCAATGGCAGCTTGAAAAGAGCCTCTGTGTGTGTGTGTGTGTGTGTGTGTGTGTGTGTGTGTGTGTGTGTGTGTGTGTGTGTTCAGACCTTTCACTTATTTAAGAATGTACCCTGGACAGTCAGTAGATGTTATACAAAAATAAGCTAGGGTCCAGTTCAAGCCTATGAACCAGCAGAACCAACTGTCTTCACACTCGGTGGAATTACAGGGTCCATAGGCAGAGTGCCAGAAACATGGAGGGCAGAGTGCTTTCCCAGCTGCTTGGCACAGCTTAACATGAACCACCTCTACCAAGCTGGCTTTCCCAAGAGATGTCTAGGAAACTGCTCTAGGCCAGAACAAGCAGCATCTTCAAATGGTCAAAGTGAAGCCATTGAAGTCATCTGAATGACCAAGGATTGTGTCCAACCTTACCACTGACTAGCTGTATAATCCTGAGCAAGCTCCACACCTCTGTCTGCCTCAGTTCCTCTTCTTTAAAATAGACCTCAGAAGATCTAGATGAATTAACAGATGAAGACCCTAGCCTGTGGTAGTGATGTTGGTCATGCCCTTGTTTCTTCCAGTCTTGTCCCACAGTGTCCTCAAGCTCTCCCATCTCTGACCTGTCAAAAGTCAGACATCATCTGAAAGTGTCCACTGCTCTGGGATGCCTTTAAGCCAGTAGCCTTGGCAGAGGGGAGAAGGCTGGGTGGCCCTTAACCAGTGGTCTTCCGGTAGCCCTCACTGGGCCCATTGGCCTGATGGGAAATGAGAAGCCACCCCCTGATGCTTTCATGCCCTGGTCCTGTGCCCGTTCTGGAAGAAAGCCTATTCATACCTCACTTTTACAAGACAGGCAGCCATTTGTAACATCCTGACAGTCCCCTAAGCAATTGGCTCATATACATATAATCACAGTGATCATAGTGACAAATAGCTGTAAAAGGAGTGACAGTGGCCCCGGTCGGGGTCTGTCTTCAAAGCCAAAGTTCAACCTCCCATGTGCTGCGGGGAAACCTGCCAACTCTAGACCCTCTTGCCAAGCTGGCCTTCTTTTGTGAGCTGCCCCATTATGGGAAGCCAAATTGCCATGGCAGCCCCTGGCCCTGGCCCTGGGCCTCGGCATATCAGGCAGCCCAAGCTTGGCTGTAAGCCTCCCTTGGTCCACAAGTGCCAGAGGCACCTGCATCTGTCCCCACTGGTGACAGACCCAAGAGACTCTCATAGCTGTTCTGTGCTCTCTGAACCTAGTCTTCAGCTCAGAGCTGGAATCCCGAGGCCAAGGTGAGCCAGAGAACCTAAGTGAACTGTAGAGATTGGTAGACTCTATGGGCCCAGAACCATCACCGTCCAGTGAAAATGAAGAGCCAATCACAGCTGCACTTAGCAGGCATGTTTTTAATGGTCACAAAAGAAACAGATGAGATTGATTTTGTTGTATCTTATTTAACCCAGTATGCCTAAAGTTAAAAACTTGCAAAGGAGCTATTTTCCTTTTTTTATAAAATTATCAAAATCTTATAACTATTTTACACCTAGAGACATCTCAGTTTAGACTGGCCATATCTCATATGCTTAGTAAACACATGGCTAATGGCCATTGGACAGCATGGCTCTAGACAGCATCCCAGATCTGTGGGTCTGACCGCCGGCCCTCAAGAAGGGCTCCCTAGTTACCGCTTCCCTTTCTGCCTGGGGTTTTGGTTCGTTAGAGATGTTTATTCATAGCAATAGACCCTTGAGGGCAAGTGTGCTTTACTGTGGAAAGAAAGTTCTGATGCTGAGGTTGCACACTGTACCCCGGAACTGAGATCATCTGGTGTGCAAGCCGAAGATGGCACTGATGAACTTCTCGGAGAAGGAGGGCTTGGGCTGCCTTCCAAATGTCACCTTCATATTACAACTGACAGCATGGCTGTGCCCAGAGTGACTGTGATCCTGGTCTGGTGGCTGAGCAGGCGACTCAGCTAGGCCAACAATGCAGTGGGTAAAAGAAAAGCCATTGGCATTTGACATTCTGCTTTTGTAGACCTTGGAGAAGGGAGAGGGTGTTCTCGGCAGGGGTATGGGAGTTTAATGCTTCAGAAATAGAGTGATCTGGGGCCGAGTGGTGGGGAGAAGGGAGAAAAAAACTCTGTAGGTAGCTGTGACCTTTAGGAGCTGTAGCTCCGTGGGAAGAGAAACTGAATTCTCACACCCTCCGGCAGCTTTCTAGAATCAGACATGACTTAGACCATGTGAACATGACAGCACCATGTGAACACAGGAGTCTGGCTGATGGACCTACTTGGGTATTCATGGCATGTAGAATATGAACTAAACGGTTGCCATGCATGGTGACACATGCTAATATCCCAGCAGTTAAGAGTTTGTGAGTTGGAGGCCAGCCTGGGCTGCAAAGTAGCAAGACCCAGAAATGAAATAAAGTCTAAATTCCTCATTTATCTAGCTACTTTCTGGGTTCAACATCAGCTCCATGAGACAGTGAGTAACACAGATTATAGGAAATGGCTTTGTATGCCGAGGATAGCAGTTTATGCAACTGCTTTTAAAACATCATTATGCTACTATACTTTAAACCATTTAAAGTTATTCCCCTTTAGGCTGATCTTCAATACCCTTTGATAATATTTTATCAAGTCCAGCATAGATATATTTGAAAGCCAAAAAAATTCTCTTTTAAAAAATAGGAACCAGCATCTAAAAACCACTTAATCACTAAGTGGGTTTGGCAAGTCTGTTAACTTTCTGAAACTCAGTTTTCCCATCTATAAAATGAGAATAATTGTGTCTCTCCATCATGTGGCATGAGAAGATGTACATAAATTGTTCCACACGTAGTAGTTCAGCAAGTGGACTTTCACTCTCCGAAGAGGGTTTTTATTGCTGTTTGGTCCAGACAGAAAAGGTGAAGAAAAGGTGAGGTAGCAATTTGTTAGTAGTGGGGTAACTGCGTCTAGTCACTGGTGTCTCAGTCTCCTGCCACTCTGGAGGTCTGCTCACCGCTAGCCAGCAGAGATCAGGCAACCCTCCTCTGTCTTGCATTAAGACATCCAGACCATGAGTATCCAGAATCACAGTGTGCCAGGAGACAAATGAGCCTGTACATGCCTCAACCAGGAAGTCAAATATCACTTCCTCTCTCCATCCATTACCCAGTTTAAAAGTTGAAGTGTTTAACCATCAAAGGGTATACTAAACAAAACATAAAACATTGATGAATTGTGATGGATTATAGTTTATAAAAATTAAAGCAGAGGCTGCATCTCCTTAAGATATAAAGAACTTTCATTAATCAATATAAAAATGTCCCTGTAGTCTGTGTGAGGGTAGGAACCTTGTCCTTTCTACAGTGTATCCCTAGCACTTCCCATAGTCTCCAAAAGAATGAATGGATGGGCCTGTCAATTAGGATAATCAGGCAGCTTACTAAAAAGAGAAGCACAGGTGTCTAATTCCCATGTGAATAAAATGGAAATAAAAAGACTATTGATATATCACTTTCAGTCATCAAATTGGCACTCTGGGAAACAATGACAGTGAGTGCTTTTGGTGAGAATTCAAGGACACAGACTCAACTCTTTTGCTGCCCATCGGGATGCATTGTGGTGCTCTGCAAGCAGTCTGGCAATCTGTCCAAAGCTCTGCTTCTGAATCAAAAAGAACTATTCTGACCCAACAATTCTACTCATAGGAATTTGTCCTGCAGAAATAGTCAAAGGTTTTTGCAGAGATGTTCATGGCCTACTATTTTTTTTAATGTTGTATTATGAATGTTTTGCCCACGTGTATGTCTGTGTACCATTCACTTGTCTGATGCCCATGGAGAACAGAAAAGGAGGTCGGATACCCTGGAACTGGAATTGCAGACATTTATGAGGTACCCTGTGGGTGCTGGGAATTGAGCCTGGATCCTCTGCAAGAGGAACAAGTGTTCTTAACCACTGAACCATCTCTCCAGGTCCCCGTGCTCTACTGTTGAATAAAGTAACTATAGGCTAGCAGGTTGGCAAAATCCTATTTGTAAATTCTCTTATTAGTTAATTCTTATTGAGAATAACAGCCACCAGGGATAAATCAGTAGAAATTAACTTACTGATCGTCACCATGCTATCCATAAACTAACCATTGTGTAGTCATTCAAAAGTATGTAACCTCTCTTGATGTAATTTTTTTAGGATTTATTTATCTTATGTGTGTGTGCCCCTGAGTGTATGTATGTGTGCCATGTACATGCAGATGCCTGCAGAGGCCAGAAGAGGGCATCAGATCCCTTGGAACTGTAGTTTCAGACAATTCTAACTACCTGATGTGGGTTCTGGGAGCCAAACCTGGGTCCTCTGCAAGAGCAATAAGTGTTCATAATCCCTGAGCCATCTCTCCAGCTCCCTCTTAAGTTTTTTAATCATTAAATCCAACTCACTGTCTAAATATTTTTCACCACGAGGGTAAGTAGATCTACCTTCAGACAGTCAGTGACATCTCCAAGTGAATCCACAAGAGGAATCCCGAAACAAGATTTAGGTGGCAGTTCTCATTGCACCCCCTTTGAAGGGTCCTTTTCCTGTCCCTCTGTGTCAAAATCAAAGCAGAATCTACCACCACCTCATTTGCAACAGCTGCATTTACACACCTACCTGCTTGACTTAACCTCTCTTGACAGGAGCTCTTTGAGTTACTGCGACATGTGACTGATGTGTTTGTTTTCACACAGATAATTGCTTACCAACCATATGGAAAATCTGTGGACTGGTGGGCGTACGGTGTGCTGCTGTATGAGATGCTCGCCGGGCAGGTAATGTTTCACTACATGTTTGCATTTGTTTGTTGCTGTTGCGTGGGGTGTGACCTCCACTGGACAGAGGCAGTGATGGCAGGACAGTGTGGCAAATGTGGCTCCAAAATCCTTGACCCAGGGAGAGAGGGAGAAAAACTCCAAAGAGCAGATGATATGTTCCTGATCATAGAAACTCCAAATGTAAAGTAGCAGCCTAGAGTGTGGACACGTAGGCATCATGCTGGAGTGTGGACACGTAGGTACCATGCTGGAGTGTGGACACGGTAGACACCATGCTGGAGTGTGGACACGTAGACACCATGTCAGAGTGTGGACACGGTAGACACCATGTCAGAGTGTAGACATGGTAGACACCATGCTGGAGTGTGGACACGGTAGTCACCATGTCAGAGTGTGGACACGGTAGACACCATGTCGGAGTGTGGACACGGTAGACACCATGTCAGAGTGTGGACACGGTAGTCACCATGTCGGAGTGTGGACACGGTAGTCATCATGCTGGAGTGTGGACACGGTAGACACCATGCTGGAGTGTGGACACGGTAGACACCATGCTGGAGTGTGGACACGTAGTCACCATGTCAGAGTGTGGACACGGTAGACACCATGTCAGAGTGTGGACACGGTAGTCACCATGTCAGAGTGTGGACACGGTAGACACCATGTCAGAGTGTAGACACGTAGACAACATGTCAGAGTGTGGACACGGTAGACACCATGTCGGAGTGTGGACACGTAGACACCATGTCAGAGTGTGGACACGGTAGGCACCATGTCAGAGTGTGGACACGGTAGACACCATGTCAGAGTGTGGACACGGTAGACACCATGTCAGAGTGTGGACACGGTAGTCACCATGCTGGAGTGTGGACACGGTAGACACCATGTCAGAGTGTGGACACGGTAGTCATCATGTCAGAGTGTGGACACGTAGACACCATGTCAGA